CCTCCATGCCCAGAAAATCATGTGATGTGATGAGGTATAGAATTAGCTCTAGGTCCTTGCTATGGCCCCTTCTGACTACTGTAAAATTTAACCCTATCATAGCCAGATCCAGCACATGGGGTAAACAATCCATACAGTGTGAATAATGATAATTCAACTCAGAGTCTGTACACTTTCCTTCTGGACAATATCCTTGTGTATTCTCATTAAGGCATTGCTGGTAGTAAAGAGAAAAACACTGCAAACTTTTTGGGGGTTATTTAGCGAATAATTTTTTTCTTAGTAGGTCAGCAGCTATGTCTTACAAATTAAGGCAAAAAGGGATAGGCAGGTTATGAGGGAGTTCAACTATAACATCAATCTTGCCCATTAGTGATAAAATGCATGAATATAATTGAATAAGAGGTTATTTCTCTGAAACTGTTCATTAAAATCTGGACCAGAGGAGGAAAAGGGCAGGAAAGGTTTTTCCTGCTACTGAATGAGAATAATTCTAAATAGCAGATGCTCCGGCCAATTTAAAGGCTAAATTCTCCTCTCTGATGCTCACTATACTGGTTCTTTTAACTGCAGTTTCTTAACATGTGTAAGATTTCACTTGACATGAATAAGAGAAATTCTGAACTCAGACTGAAAGAGGGAGAGAAAATTATCTTCTAGGCAGGTCTGAGAGAGAAACATCACTGTATATGGTTCTTAAATATTTTAAAACAGTATCTTCTTCTCAAGCTATGAACAGATGGACAATTTATGGTGAGATGGGCAAAGACAGTATCAATTCAGTGAATGCCAGATGCTTTGCTGTAGCTGTCTACATGAGGTGGTTTTCACTTCAACATAACGGCATGCATATGAACAGTTATCACAGAGTACCTGACACATGGGATGAGTTTGCATTTGATCTTGTTTCACCACAGCTTACATGCTTATAATCAAAATAATTATTTGGTGAATTCTAATTAAATTAAGAACAAAACCAAATATCTGGAGAAACACTGAGTTCCAGCCTGAATTTTATCTAGAAATGGAAACTATGTCTTAGTAGTAACTGTTTCAAATAGATTAATAAAGTAATAAGCACAGCATTTATTTAATGGTTTAAATAGACCTTTATAAAGTTTCATTATAAGAATTACTGCAGACGCAAGGAGCTACTGCCTAAGACCTACAGTATTAAAGAAAATAAATAGCTGGTTAGGAATCAAAGACCAATTGATTGATTTTCATCTTGCAGCTTGTTTACAGAATAATTGCTCATGATTCCATGTCTGGACTCGTGTTATATTCCTTAATGAACAGGATAAGATATAAATAGCAATGTAATGAAATTTTCAGATGACAAAATTACTTAAAGAATTCAGGATCAGAAAGATTTGTGATACATTGAATTTACAAGGTGAACAGACAGCACCATGTCAAAGAAAATTTAGTGTCAATAAATAGAATCAAATATGTAGTGGAGGAAAAATATTAAAGATGCATCTATCTTTAAATTCACTATGTAAATCCAGGAAAGTACCAAAGTATTGCTGCAGACAAGTCAGTGAAAAACTTTCCTCCATATGCAAATGCATTAGGAAAAAGGCATAAAATGTTCTAAAGCTATTGCATAAATCAAAGCTGCATCTTGTCTAGAATGTAGTGTACAAAACCTTTACATGATAATGTGGCACTGGAGTGGGCTAGGAAAAACAACAAAAGTCTCATACAAAGTGAAATAGGAAAGATTTAAGATTTCCTCTGAGGTTAATTAGTATAATCATGATAAGCCTGAAAATCACAAATCTAAGTCAAGGGCTCTTTAGAAATGACACAGAGGAACTGGATATCTGTATGGAAATGTAGTTTTCACAATTAATTATTGCACATTTAGAAATAAACTTCCTATTTCAGGATGGAAACCAATTGCTTCTTATAAGAAAATAAAGGGAGGATTTGTAGAAACAACACTTTTGTGACAGTATTTAGACTAAATATCTGTTTCTGGCTATTGCTGGGTCATAAAGTTACATAGAAAGGACTGCTTTTGAGTAGGAAGCAGTGTTTTCAAGATTTTTGCTACTTTCAAGATATCATCATGATTTTGGAAAGGTTTGGGTTTGCTCAACAGCTCAGAAAAAAGTCCTTTCAAAACACCACTATGTATGAGATTGAAGGACTGCTGGTGATCAAGGTTCAAGTTCCTGAAAAAAGCCAAAAACAATAGAACAATTTTAAACTTGAAAATTTTTTTCCTCCTTGAAAATACTTCCTGCATTATCACAGTTTTCTGACCTTTCCACCACTGGAATCAACCTTTCTTTTCTCACCCTGCATTAAAAAAAAAAAAAAAAAAAAAAAAATTAACAATGTCCTCCATGCCTTGTAATGAATTTTTTTAACCTATTCACAAAACCTAAAATATGACAATTCTCATTTCTAGTTTCTGGAATAGTTGTCAATCTAGATTTGTAATTCCAGAACATGGTGTGTATATTCTTGATAAATGTGTTTTGCTTTGTGTACTATCTATATTAACTGAAACAATATGACTGGATTTGGATAGGCCTAGAAAAGACAGACAGATTTAAGGCTGCTAATAGAGTCCTCTTTGAAGAGCTTTGTGGGTACAAATTCCTGATTCAAGAATAAGAAGTCTCATCAGTACAGAGCAAAATAAGTTGACTCAAGAATTTGTTCTTTCTCCAAATAATCAGGGTAAAAAACACATGGCCAAGAGCATCTCTTATATTGGAGCATCACATTTTCTAGTTCATCCTCTATTTCATGCTCTTCCCTCCCTAGCTATTATACATTATTCAAGAGGTAATCTGGCCTTTTATTGCTCGCAAACCAAGTTCCTTGGGTAAACTACCCATCTTTTTGCTGCTTTTCAGATTCAAACACATTGCTCAGCTTCTGAAAGAACGATGTAAAGGATGGAGTTCTGCCCTTTTTCGTTTATTCCTTATCATTTTACATTTGAGTAGTAGGATTTGACCAGAGCAATGCTACTGGCTACAGTGGTCGGAATGAGGCCTCTTCTGTCTCATGAGATTTGTTGAGTATTCAGTACATTCCATCAGAAAGTCAGTGGCCAAGGTGAAAATTCCAGCAGATGTCCCAACGGGATATAATAGCACGATAACAGAAACCAGCCAGCTGTAGGTGCAGCGGCAGGCCTGGAGGGACCCGGCTCTGCCTGGGGAGAAGAACAGTGAGCCACATCCCATGAGCTGGCAGCACAGAAATCAGGAGGAGCCCAGAGGTGCACCGCACGTTCACCTATAAGCCCTTCCCAGAGTCTCAATATTTGGGGTTTCTGTTGATTTGGGATTCACTACAACACACTGCAAGTGGCTATACAAGTATGCCTTTCCAAAGCCATTGAGGTTCCTATAGCAGTCTCTAGGGGTAAAAACTACTCAATCTGCTGTAACCACAGTTTGTGAAATGTGCACAGCACAGCTTGATACACACATTACCTAAAAAAGGGAAGTGATTGCAAAAAGTGCAAAAACCCAGAAACCTTGTGCCAGTTTTTCACCAATTCTAGTCATGAAATCTTTTCTTTTTGAGCACATTCTTAAGATGCTTAAAATTTATCTAATTCTCAAAGGAGGGTAAGTTGTAGAAAACACGAAAAATATTTGAAATCAGAATATTTTTGTCACAGGCCATTGATAAATACCATTTTAATAATTCAAAGTTTAACCAGTTCATTCTTGATCCATTTTATCCAAATATACAGTCTGAAGTAAAATGATTTCTCATTTTAAGAACACTGAAGAGACAGAGCTCAGCACACAAAATGCAAACATTTGAAACTACTTGGGAGTGCCTACCTTCTTCTGACCTCATGATCCTTGATTTCTGTCCTGTACATTATCCAAAAAAGGCAGAGTTACACTTCTGCTTGTTTCATTTCCCGTTCCAGTGCCACACCTGATCCATTCATCTCGGCAGCTGAGCACCCTTTTCTGGGAAGTACAGGCTCTGAATCCTAAATCCTCTCTCTTCTTTTGTCTGTAAATGCTAGCCTAAGGCAGAGGCTTACTAAGGCCACTTCTAACAGACATTTCAAAATAAAGTGACAGCTGTAACTGTACTTTTAGAAGTTTTGGTCCTATAAATATAGGCTGGGGAATGGGTAGTGCATGGATTTTGAAGAGATTTAAGAATAAGCTTGGCTCATCTCCATCAGAGGTGCAGCAGTCATCTCTAAATGCAGGTAGCTCTCATTTTAGCCACCTCATCCCTTTTAATAAAAATTTGTTATGATTTCACAGCACTCATTGTAGGTGTATGCAAGGTTTTATTGGAATACTGGGCTGAATTTTAAGGGACGTTTATTCTATCTCCAGAGTTTGAATATTGGGCACACATCACAGCTTCCACTGAGGAACTAATTCCAGGTTTTTTTAATTTGGTTTAAATTTTAAAGTATCAATTTTCTTCCAGTCTCTTTCCCATTTTCCTTCCCACATTCATACTATGGGGTTTAGAGGTGGGATTGCTGGATAATCAGGTCTTGAAAGTCTCGATATTTGTCAGAGGCTTAGAAACATAATTTCGGGCAGTTTTTTATGTCTTATTTTATGCATATTTTTGATATTACAATTTCCAATAGCAAAAAAGCACATATTTCTCTCAAACTGATCATGTCTCATAACCTTTATGCCTTGCCATTTCAATCTATCCTCCTCCTTCATTGTTGATTTTGAAATATTCACTCTATGACTCTATCCCTTTATCAATGTCTGGAAGGAAGGACGACCATGACTAAAGTTATGTGTGAGAATGTAGAAAGCTGGAAAATGCTCTCTTCAATAGCAGAGCTGAGTGTCTGTGAGAAAATGCTTCAGTTTCTTCATCTGGAAAAGAAATTTATTCCTTTATGGCATAATATATATGGGGTTTGATATGTATCCACAAAGGCTCATATTGGTGTTTGAATTATTTTTACTGATATTGTTATTAACTTCAATTTTGAAAACACTGTATTTTTGTTTCTGTTTCAGCTGCAGTGAAAAAGGAGGGGGAGAAGAAAGGTAAATCAATCTTTTCCCTTGACTGAAACGTCTTTCAGGCTATGACTGCTGTGAGAAATGTTTCTTTCGTTCAGTGATACAATTGTGATGATATACAGCATTGTGATGACATACAGCCCCTCCTGTGCTGCCATCAGCCAACTTTATCTGCTCCTGCTGTGATAACACTGTTGTCATTTCCACTATTGGTAGCTACTTTTTAAAACAGGCCAATACAGACTAGTATCGGACACTTCATCATTCTGGCTGGGAGGAAAATGAAAGGCCTTTGTAACCACGTTAGGATTTGTCAGAGAACAAAACTTTCAGCACTCCATGCATGCTGACCTGGCTGCTTGCGCTTTGCAGAGGTTGCTTTTCTAGGCACATTTAATTTCCTCTTTTCACATATATATGGAGCTTGTATGTAACCTTTGCTGAAGTCATTCTCCGATATTTTAACAGATTAGTGGAAAAATTTGCCCTAAATCAGAACAAAAAATATTATTTTTATTTATAGATAAATATAATGTATTTATCAGACCCTAAATATCTATTTATAGTGTTGTCTTTCAGAATAATATTTGCTGAGTAAAAACTTTTTTTTCCTAATTTTCTGATTTTATTCAAACAACAAAAAAATGAAATATTTGCACTGAGGTGGTATTTTTTTTAACCTGTTCAACTTGGTTGAGTATCAGGCTTATAAATCTTGTCTTTCTCACTAAATAGAGCTATGGGAACATTTTCAGAACGTATCCATATATTTCTTAGGATTATTCGAGATTTTTTTTAATTCAATGAAAAAAAAAAAAAAAAGCTCTTTATTATTGATGGGAGATTTGGTGCATGGGGGGGCTAGGGCCTTTTGTGTCTTTTGCCATTTGGAAATTCTGTGGTTTACATTATTGAACAATGGAGCCAACCTTTACTGTCTATACATGAAGACATTTTCAATCCTATTAATTATTGTTTTTTTCTGTTATCCCTGTACAAAGCTGTTAACTGAACTAAAAAAAAAAAAAAAATTATAGTCTCAACTGTTTTATCAGCTCATGAGTGAAATCTTGGCTGTGTTGATGTTAGTGGCAAAATTCCCATTCACTCCACTGAGGCCAAAATTTCACTTCTTGTCTTTAAAAGAACAATAAAAGTAATTTCTGTTATTAAAACCAGCCATGCTTAATAGGTATTAAGCAGGATATTTTGTCCAAGATTAATTTGCAACAATTGAGGCATGAAAGGTAGCACATGAAGCAGGGAGAATCAGAAAACTGGCAGCTACTCATAGAGCCACTGGTTTTCAGATATCAAAATGTCTGCAGTTTTCAAAAACATGAACTGCTACATCCTTGATGGAAAGAAAATAATGAGGTAATTGTTAAGGGTGCTACTTCTCTCACCCTTGTCAGATTGTGGGCCCATTCTTTTACAGAACACCAAGTGAATTTGTTTAAACACCTAATGCTCATTTTTCACCAGCTAGGATTTTCTTCCCATTTAACCAAACTTTTCCCCAACAAAACTGATTGAAAAATGCATTTTTCATGAACATTCTTTGAAGTTAGATCGATTTTTCCATTTCATTTTCTTTTCTATATTTCTTTTGCTTAAAAAAATTCCTTTGATTTCTTAGTTGAAAGGATTTTACAACAAGTATGTGTAGACTACTTTCATGCACCTGGCTGAGGCTGTATCTCATCCTGCTGGTTACCACCAACCTATTTCACAGAAACATGGAAGTACGAACTGAAATTCAGTTTTAGTCATTTTTATGATTATCATCCCTCTATTTATTTTTTGTATTTAACCAACCTCTGGTTTTCTGAGATCATAGCTAACATTGTCAGCAAGGAAGGTAGTGATTCTAGTGAAAAAAAAAAGCCACAAAAATGAAATCTTCCAGTGACTAAGGCAAACTGGTTCAGTGATGTTCATGCCTTTAATAAATATGCGCTAAACTGAAAAACTGGAGAGAATAAGGCCTCTTCCAAAAAATGAACATGCCATGCTTTAGTTGCCATGCTTTCTCATCTAGCTTCCCCTTCTCTGCAGGCCCCACATGGAAAATATTGCATGCTACTAGCTGACTCCAAATATGATAAGGTTTTATTTATTTCTGCTTATTCTGTTGTCACAAGAAATTGCTCTAGGCTGCATGTGTATTCCTCTGACTGGCAATAAAAAAGGGTAATGTTCACTGGTTTTGCTTAAGGATACAGTATTTTTTGCACAGCTGCAAAAATAATAGAAGTAGCCAGGCAGCGCTCTAAATTGACTGCCTCATTATCCAAAATATATTGTGGTAGTAGCATGCACAGTTCAAACAGTACTTCACCATTTCTCATGTGAATCATACAGCACACAGACACTATACTCTACATGAAGCTTTCTCCAATTATTTTGTCCTGTTCAAATACATCTCTCATTTAGAAAAACAAGAATAATGAGCCATACAGAGTGACAAGCCATCATAAAAGAGAAGAAGTTGGAATGACGCGTTCAGTCGATGGTACATTCTGTGCATAGCATAAATCAGACTTGAAGGAGCTGGCAAGAGACAGAAAAGAACAAAATTAAGATGGAGAAAGATTACATATTGTGCTGATTTCTCCAAATATGGATGATACTAACAAGAACCTTGAGGTACAATTAACGCATGAAATTTAGGCATTCACTATTTCTCTTTCAAAGGTTAGGTCTCTAGGACTTTGTGACTTTGTGACCAAAGTCCTAGAAAATGGGCAGCTTTACCTTCCAGCATCATGTTATGCCTTCTTTCAACATGTGTGGGATAGAGAAGCTGTCACGGAAATGTGTAAATGTTGTCAATTCCAAAAGGGCAAGAGGCAGAAAACCTTTGCATGAGGAAGGCATTTCCTAAATTTCCCGAGAGCAAATCTGGCTGCCAGTGCAAAACAATTTTTAACTCTTTCTAGTAATTCAAAGCATGTGAGCAAGGAATCAAACTAATTAAAATAGACCAAGGGGCTGGTGAAGTGATATAAATCCCATAATTTCCAGGGCATCTCCAGAAAACAATAAATAGAAATGTAGCTTGCTGAAATATTTCAGCATTTTTTCACATTTAATTGCCATTTTTAAATGAAATAAATATTAATAATTTTTTTGTTTCTATAAACCAAAACAATATTCTCATATTTCAAAAATGTTTTACAACTACAGAGGTTTACAAAAATCCTTGCTTGGAATAGAGGCTGATCAAAGAAAACTTCAAGTTTTCTTAGTTCTGCATAAAGTGAAATTTCTTATTTCAATTCATACCTCCCATACCCTATTTATTTCTGACTAGGACAGAAATAGAGGATACAGACTGAGCTGGGGATGTCAAGCAAGTAAGAGTAGTGAGTTGTCTCTCCAGTCAGTGTCAGAAAGTCTTGTTTTATAAAGATTCTTTACATCTGTGTTTCTAGTGGACCAAACAGGATTCAGCCATGACATGATCCCTGTGGTTGCTCATTCTCATGAGTACGTGTAAGAACATTCTCATTTCCAAAAGTGACTCGTGAACCTGAGCTGCCAGGGAGTTGGTTTCTCCAGCCTCCTTGGAGCTGCAGAGAGAGAACAAACTCTGCCTTGCTCCTGAGAGCACATCCAATTCAAGACCTCTGTGAGCCTCACATGCTCTGTAGACTGCCCACAGTCAGATATTATGAAGACTTGTAAGTTAGTGAGGTGCAGGTCCTGGTTTCTTGCCAAGAGCAACACTCCCATTCTGATTTTCAGCATTAACACTCTGACACCTTGCTCTTAAATTCATTTACTAGTTTTTAGAAAGCAAAATGAAAATCACATTCATGTGACAAGTTTCATCAAAATAAATTGACAGGAGAGTATATGGGATCACATTTAGACTTTTCTCAAGAAATGCATTGTGGTGCAAAACATGCGTAACATCTGAGTGCAGCTAAAATCAAACAAAAGGAGAAAATGGGCAAGCCATGTACATTCAAGCTCCAAACTACATCTTTTTGTCCATTCAGTAAAGAACAATTTCCTTCTAGTACTCCTTGTAATGGTATGGCTTGGAAACTGCTGTTCTGCATACAGAGGATGGAACAAACTGGCCAAGGCAATTTCAATATATATAAAAATCAAGATGCTTTCCAAACTGGAAAGAAAAAAAAAAACCACAAAAAGGGGGGATTTCAGACAACTGCTTAGTTTTGTAATTGACCAGAAAAACTGGAAGTCGGCCATCTTATTCATAATGCAAACGGTCATGGTAGCATGGGATTTCTGCTCAGCTGCAGATGCCACTGGTCCAAGATGAAACACAGCTTCATTGCGTCATGTTCTAACAAGAGTCAAAGGATAAGAAAGTAGAGTATCTGATACTATAACTGCAAAGTGTATTACACAGACTTAATAGAACTTTTAGTCCTAAACAAAGGGATTAAAAACCCCAAATCATTATAAACACTTCTAAAATAATTTTCTTAAAATAGGGTCAGAAATTCTGCATTATATACTAGAAAATAATAAATACAGCCATGTGCTAGTATGCCATTGAAACTAGCAGTGATATTTTGACCAGCTAAAGGCAGGCAGCTCTCTCAAAGGAAACAGTCGCTGAAATAGCCACAAGATGGAGCCCAAAGGATCTTCCAAACTGTAGTTAATATTGTCATCCTGCATGGATAAAGAGTTAAATAAACTGATTTTACTGAAGAACACTACAGGAATCTTGAACTGCAAACAAGATGTTTTCCAATGTAAATCCACTCCGGACTAAAGATGTTTTCAATTTGATAGATGGCTACCCATACACTAGTGAGCTTTGATTTCCCATGCTAAAATAACAAGTCCCCAGCATTTTCAAGGAATACTGATGAACAGATAATTTATATTAAATAAATTATCTGAAAGACTACATCAGTTAACTGAAATTTGCTTGACCTCTGTTTGCCTTGTCTCAACTATCTTAGGGATATAAATAATCTATATGTCCAATTTACAGGTTTATGTGAGACTTAACAATCTGTACAACGTCTGTTTAG